CAGGACGAGGCCAGACCCACCACTCCGGACTTAGTATCTGTTAGGACATCCCTGGTGTGTTCATCAGTGATAGCCAAACCTCTGAGACTCCTCCCTGCCTCCTCTGTCCCTCCCTCCCTTCCTCCTTCCCTCCCTCCTCGGTCCCCCCGCCCCCACTTCCCTCTGTTAGTTAAGGGTGAAGGATTACATAACAGCCTATTTGGGGAGCAGGAGTGCATAGCTGTGAGGATCCCGGGAGGCGTGGGGAGTGCAGGCCTGGGCTCGGGCAGACGCCTCACCCACCATGGGCTCCCAGGGTGACCAGAGGGTGTGAACGAGGGAGCCTGGCTTGGAATTGGTGGGAGTTTGTGCGTCCAGCATCCCTGCCCTCCACATGAGAGCGTCCCCTCTGATGCACATGCCACTCATTCGGTGGTGCTCACTTCCTGCTCAGGACCCGAGTGGAAACAGCTGATTGACATTTGACCTGGCTGCTGTGCCCCTGCGCTGCCCAGTGCCCACTGCACATGCAGCTGGTCAGGGGGCCTCAGCGAGGCGGTTAGATTCCCAACCCCGTGCCATAGCTGACTGGAGGACCGAGGCCAGGTGATGCATCTGGGCAGCTAAAAATGTTGCTGTGTGTCAGGCAGGGCCCATCTCTGAGCAGTGACCTCACAGCTCCACCTGCTGGGGTGCAGGGTGCACCTGTGCATCCAGAGCCCAGAGGGGCACTGACAGGGGGCCGGGACAGGCGACAGGTGGTGCCGGGATGGGGCTCCTGCTGTGCCTCTGCCATCCCCACCCCACCCCTAGCCCCATGAGGCACTTGCGGGGTGCCCTTGGGCGAGTCAACCTCTCAGTGCCTCAGTTTCCTCCTCCATAAAAGAGGAGCCACACAGGCTACCTTATTGTGTTTAAGGGCGGGGGCCTGGCCCCAGCAGCCAGGATGTGTGATGGCACCAGGCAGGCTGTCTTGTACGCTGGACCACCACATCGGTTCTAGCTGTGGAACTTTGCAGCGGGGCCTGAGCAAAGCAGGCCCAGAGCCGCACCTGTTCAGACGGGCTCCGGTCACAGCCTGGCGCATTAATGACCCCTGGCTGTCCTCACTGCAGCCGCCTGGCCCCCGTCTGACCAGGGCTGCAGCCAGCTGGCTCTTGGGGCAGCATGGTGCTATTTTTGTTGGTGTGTGCAGGCGTGCACGCAGTGGCTCTGGCATTCCCGTGAGGGTGGCTGTCCCGCATGCTTCTGGGCCCACCTGCTCGGGCAGAAGAGCAAACGGGCACGCTCCCCACTGCCCCTCTGGGGGCCCTGGGTCTGCCCTGTGGCCTCGAGCATCTGGAGTGGCCCCACCCCCACTGGGCAGGAGCAGAGCTATCCAGCTCTCCCAGTGCCTGCACGTGAGTCACCCAGTGTGTGAGCCCAACTCTGGGAAAGGAGTCATGAGCCGGATGTCAGATGGAGACCTAAAAAGAAATGAATGCAGATGTGTCTTTGTGTTGACAGTTTCCAGAACATCAGTCTCACCCTTGGCAGTTGGGACCTCCCGTGAAATTGAGCAGTCCCGTTTGTTCCCCCTAAGTGCAGTGTGAGCACAGCTGCAGAAGGCAAAGCAAGTCTGGCTGCGTGTCCGGGTCATTAAGGGGGTGGCTTTCCACAGAGGGAACGTCCGTGATGACTGTCCCCAGTGGGACTGGGCCTTGTGCTCCCCCCTTCTCCCTCACTTCAGCGTGGACAAAGCAGAGGATGTGAAGGGAGCCATCCCCACTCCTTCTGGGCTGTCTAATCTGTGACTTTGAGATCAGCCCAGAAAGACCATTTCTTGCTTTTTTGCCGGGCTTCATGCATGTAGGAAAGGAGGTGACCGAGGGTCCGGGGCGGGGAGGAGCAAGGTGGGGACACGAGGGTGACAGTGGGGAGGCGTCTTGTAGGAAGGCTCCGTGGGCACGTCCATGTGCTCAGTACAGGGCTCTGCTGGAGGCAGGGCCAGCCGTGGGGTGTGCACAGCAGACCAGGGAGACTAAAGCCCTGGCTCACCAGCCGGAGGCCCAGGAGAGGGGCCCTGAGAGCACAGAGCATCAGGGAGCTGGAAGAGACGATGCATCTTGGGAAAGGGATCCCATAAAGTTGTGCATGAACTCCTGGGCCCACCCCCAGGCTGGGCATGCATGGAAGGGGCCCTAGGCCACACCCCCAAGGCTTTGAGAACTGAACTGTGGGATACACCACCAGCCAAGGCCCAGAGTGGCCACTGGGTGCTGTCTGTGTGGCAGGTCCAAATAGCACTGACGAGGTGTTGAAAATGTGCAGGATGTAAACCAGAATTACTCACTGTATGAAGAATCAGGAAAATCTCAACAACTCTCGAAGGAAAACACAACCAACAGACAACAAGGACAACCAACAGACGGTCAACCAGGGTGACGCGATACCGGGATTTCAGAGGTTTTACAGTCACCAGTATGACCGTGCTCAGAAGAGCAGGACCACACACTCTTGAAATGAATGGGGAGATGGAACATTTCAGCAAAAAAATGGAAGCTACAGAAAAGAAAACAGAAAAATTTTAGGAAATTTTCCATTGAAAAATACTATTAGCTAAATAAAAAATGTACATGAGTTCAGTAGTAGAATGGAGGTGAGAGAGGAGTCCGTGAACGTGAAGATAGATCAATAAACAGCCTCCACTCTGAACAACAGAAAAAAATCAGGGGAGGAAAAAAAAGAACAGACTCGGGACAGTACCAAAAAGTCTAACATTCACACCATCTGAGTTCAGAGGAGAGGAGAAAGTGTGGAGCAGGAAAAATAGTGAAGAAATAAATGCTGAAAAGTTCTCAAATTGGATACAAGATACACTCACAGATTTAAGAAGTTCAGCCAGTCCCAAGCGTGCACCACATCACTGCTGAGGCCTGGAGTCAAACGAGTGGGAGCAGCCAGAGCCAGGACTCACCGCCTCCAGGGGAAAGACGACCCGCGTCACCACGGCCTCGCTCAGGAGCCACGGCCTCGCTCAGGAGCCACGGACGTCAGAAGGAAGTGGCACATTTTTCAGGTGCAGAAAGAAAAGAACTGTCACTCCAGAGTTCTATATTCAGCAAAAATATCCTTCAGGAATAAAGGTGAAATGAAGACCTTTTCAGATGATGGGAAACTGAGGATTCCTTGCCAGGGGAGTTGAGGGGCCATTAAAATTGTAAGCCTGTGGTCAGACTGACAAAGAAGAAAGAGAACACGAATTCCACCCTAGGAGTGGAAGAGAAGACATTCTGTAGACCCACAGACATTAGGAGGAAGCACTGTGAACGGCTCTGCCCATAAACTCGACAACTTGGATAAAATGGACCAATTACTTGAAAGCCACAAACTACCAGGACTGACCCAAGCAGAAACAGATAACCTGAATATCTACTGAATAGATCACCATACCTATTAAAGAATTGAACGCATACTTTAAAATCTTCCAAGAAAGATCTTTTTCAAGGGAAGCCAGGAATCTGGATTTTTTTTTTTTTTTACACAGAATTAGTCATCTGCTAATTCAAAACAAAAGTTTTGAAACACTGTGTGAGCCGACACCACAAGCCAACGAAGGTGCACCGTGCTCACCTGGCTGCGGGGAGCCTGACCACAGACGAGCCGGCCCGGAGCGCGCCTTCTTTGCAGCTCTCCGAGCCTTGCATCGCTTTCCGGGTGGTGATCCCGGAAGACCTGGGACAGCCGGGGTGAAAGGTCAGCAGAGATCTCCACTTCCCGTCCGGTTCTGCCTGGTCGGTTGGATGCTTCAGTGGGCCCAGGAGGGGATGTTGAGCAATGTCTCAGCGCCTGCTCCGTCCACGTGCTGAGCGTCCAGGAGAGGGGCTGCTGACTGGGTTTTATAGATGAGAACTGACCTGGCCTCAGAGGTTGTCAGTGGCTCCCGGGTGAGGTGCAGCCCCCTCTGCGATCTCAGGGTGCCCCACTGTGCCCTCGGCGGCCTACGGAGGGCTCCTTGGCCCAGCGTTTGCAATTCTTACATGTGTCCTGTCCACTCGGGTCCTCACCCTCCTTCCCACTGCCGGGCAGCTCCCACTCCCACAGACTCCGTGGTCTAGCTTAATTAGCCGTCACAGTTCACCTTGCGGATGGAAATGGGTCCGACAGAAACGTTTTATGCAGGAAAACACAGCGGTGTTTATGGTCGCACTCCGCTAGCCGGGGCGTTAGAGGCCGCCTGCAGATAGAGAAATGCGTGGACCGTGGGCAGTGAGTGGCATTGTTCCCTGTGACCAGAGGGTCTAATAGAGGCATTTGAAGGAGGGTTTGCACCGATTACAGAATTGGAAGCGCCTCAGATTATCTTCTGAGTGAAGGGGCTGGGCAGGGACTCCTGAGAGCTGCCCACTTCGTTCCGCTTCACCCGGGGGCCTCTGGTTCCGATCTCAGCACCCCTGGGTGCAGGCAGGGGCCCCAGGGGCCTGGGGTGGAGGGGCTCGGGGTGAGAGGGGCCGCCATCAGGCTCCATCAGCAGCACATGGGGCACACTAGGCCAGGTGCCACGACCTGGGGCGGCCCTGCGGTCCCTGTGGCCAAGGGCTGCCCTCCTGAAGTTCTGAGGCAGCTGCTGCCCCTGCTGAGTGGGCCCCCAGGACGTGGTGTGAGCAGGTGTCTCTGAGGCCACCATGAGTCTCCCGAGGGACACACAGCGGATCTGCCTGCAGCCAGGAAGGGGGAACGTCTGGGAGGCCACGTGGGCCCTGCCCGGAGCTGGCCCCTTCCTGCCCCACTGAGCCGAGGCTTCTCCATCCATAGGGCCCTCCTGTCCCTTTGGCTGTGCACGCAGCAGCCTCAAGGGACAGGAGGAATGGGAGGGACAGGCTGGGGCCTGGGTGTCTCCTGACTGCCTGGTGGGTCCCCGACCCCCTGTGTGTCCCCTGACCCTGTGAGTATTCCCTGGACCCCGTGTGTGTTCCCTGGACCGCTGTGCGTGTTCCCCTGACCCCTGCTTTGCCCCTGACCCCTGGCTCATGTCTCCACAGCATCAAGATGGTGCTCATGTGGACGAGTGGCGACACCTTCAAGACAGTGTACTTCCTGCTCAATGGCGCACCCCTGCAGTTCTCCGTGTGCGGTCTGCTGCAGGTGCTGGTGGACCTGGCCATCCTGGCGCAGGCCTACGTGTTTGCCCGCCACCCTCCGAAGCCGGCCCCCCATGCGGTGCACCCCGCCAGTACCAAGGCCCTCTGAGGTGGCCGGGGAGGACGAGGACGTGTGACCGCTGGCCACAGGCACCAGCCCGGCCATCTGTCCTCCTGTGTGGGGCAGGCAGGCACCGTGGCCCCCTGAGATGGTGTCCCGGCCACTGGGGTCTCAATCAGCCTCTGTGGGCTCAGAGGGTGGCGGGCAGGGGGCCTGTGTGCCAGTGTTTGTGCTCATTCACTCCCAGGACAAGCGAGCAGATTTTACACCCAAGGGTTGGGATGCGGTTGTTTTCATGGGGATGGAAGGCGAGTCTCCTCTTGGAAGACACCCAGCGAGAACCTGGTAGCTGCTCACGGACCCAGGGAATGGCAGGCTGGGGCCGCCCCAGGACAGAGGGTGTCAGGGAACCTCGGCCCCTGAGATCAGCTCAGCCCACAGCGGGCCCGGGGCGTAGGCTGGGGGCTGAGCCTCTGACGGGTGGGACTGGGGATCAAGAAGGAGAAGCAGCATCAGGACAACCAGGGTCCCAGCACACAGAGCCCACAGTCTCAGAACGGCCTGCGAGTGGACGCCCTGGTGACGGCATGCAGCCAAGTGGGACTCCGGCAGGGTTGGGCCCAGGTGCAGAGAGCATGGCCAGTTTTATGTGTGCCTGGCACTCGTGGAGAGGAAGCCGGAGGGATGCCATGACGTGCGCTCTCCTTTATCAGGCCAGAGTTGGTCTCTCCAGGGCCTCCTTCACCACAGCTGCCCCACAGGACCTGGGCTTGGCCCTCCACTTGGCAGTGGGGCCCGGGGCCCTCGTTGCTACGCTGGCGTCCTCCTAGGAGAGGCTGCTGTGCACCCGCCCTGGGGGGACAGAGCCAGCCTGTGTCCACCACTGGGCACTGGCCAGGGCGAGCTGAGGGGTGTTGGAACTAGAGCCCAGAGCACTCCGTGAGCCCCAGGGGCGTGCGTGTGCGTGCATGGGTGTGTGCGTGCATGCGTGTGTGTGTGTGTGTGTGTGTTGGGCGGGGTGCGGCCGGCCAGCATGGGCTCCAGGGAGGGCTGAGGCCCAGGGTGGGGCGGGGCAGACTCACCACCACCCCGGGAGGCTGCCCTTGCATTCAGGGTTGCACACACCTGCTGTGGCACAGAGCCTTGGGTGTCCGTTTTCCAGGACGGGGACAGCCTGCAGGTCAGGAGAGGATGCTGGAGGCAGGCGTCCCCCCCGGCGTGCAGGGCATCCGCACACTCTGAGCTCTCAGGCCTGCAGTGACGTTCCCAGGTGGTGGGCTGTGCCTGGCGTGGGCATCCCTGCCCAATGTCCTCCAGTCTGTGTGCGCTTCTCCATGTCCTGCCTCTGGCTGTGACGGGGCCGCTGGATATCCCTCCCTCTCAGTTTTACACGAGCATCTCAGAGCATCTCAGCCCTGTGCCAGCCCCCAGACCCCAAGGCCGAGGGTTCTAGATGCTTCTGTGTGGCTCCCGCAGGCAGCGTTTCCCCTTCTGCTGGGCGGAGGGGCGGCTCTCTGCAGTGTCCACGCCATCTGCGGCCAGTGCCAAAGCTCTCATGGTGTCTGCTGTGGCCGGTGGGAAACGTTCAAAGCTGCTGCCCCCTGAGTTTTCCTCAAAAACTCCTGAATGTTTGAGTGAGGGTCCTGCTGGTTTTTTGGCCTGTAAGATGCTTTGAAAATGTTTATTTTTAAAACACAAAAGGAGATGTCTGTAGCAGCAATTGCCTACAGGTTAAAATGTCACCAGTTGAAGCAGTGACTGAATGTGCCGTGTGCGGGAGCATTCAAGGTTCTGTCAGTGTGGTGACTCTAAATCAATAAACCGCTCGCGGATCCAGTGTGGCCTCGTGAATGGAGTCAGAGTGGGGCCCAGGCCAGAGTGGAGCATTGGTCCCTGTCCTCATTTCACCTCGGTGGGGGGACCCTGGGAGGGGCTGGCTCCAGGCACTGGCCTCTGCCCTGACACATCCACATGCCCGGGGCTGGGCCGGCACCAGGTCCCTTGGTACAGCTTGGCCCCTGAGAGACCTCGGTGGCTCGCCCAGGCTCCCCCAGAACAGACCAGCCCTGGGGACAGTGACTGCCCTGTGCCAGCAGGGCCAGGCCAGCGTGGGCTGGCGCCTGACCCCGAGTCCTGGGCTCCCTGCAGGCGAGTCTGTGTCACATCTTGGTGCCTTGGTCTCTGCCAGTTCACACAGAATGCCTCGAAAGGATGGGAAGGATCTCATTTAACTGCCAAGAGAAGTGTTTCAAGGAAAACCGAGAGCACACGGGACACTTGCAGGACAATCCGGTATAGCAAGTAGGGACGGAGCTGTCTGTCCTGAGCAATTTGCTTTTTCGCATGGAGAGTATTTACATTGGGGGCAAGATATTAAAAAAATATATGAAGTGAAAATATATGAAAGAGATATATTTTTAATTGTTTTGGCGAGTCACCCAGCCTCTGGCACCTGGGAGACCCAAGAATGGGCTGATCAAAGTGGCGACCTCCGCGCTCCTCTGAGGGTGCAAGGATCCTCACTGTGGACCTGGATCCACTTACTGACGCAGGACAGGTCCTGCTTTGGGGGTGGACTTTTCCCTTCTGATAAAGTGTTAATTAAAATGAACTATTTTAATTAAAAAATTAATGCCTACAGTAAAAATTCAAATAGTAAAAAAAAGACAAAAAAATATACGAAGGTGCTTTTTTGGGTAACCCCTCTCTCTTCCTGTGAACTTACCTGTAGCCTATTTCTGTGGTTCTGAGAAGGAGCTGAGAAGTGACAGGGAGAAGGCGCCCGTGTCCCTCTGAAGAGTCCCTGGAATTGCCATCAGAGGCGGGGCCGCAGGAGCTGTTTCACCGGCCCAGCTGTTGCCCCGGCCGAGCGAGCTCTGCGCCCTGAGTGCCGGACACAGCCGTCCAGCAGGGAGAGGCCAGAAGTTCTTAACAGCCCCACGAGCAGTGGTGCTTCTAATGGAAAAATACATGAAGATCACTTTTCCCCAAAATCATAAATCTCCTATTTGTTTTTATAGCTCTTCCTCTCAACAGGAGAGCATTTTGGAAATGGGAGCAAAATGGTGATGCTGCTCTGGCTCCTGGGTGGGGACGAGCCTCATCTCATTGAGTGGAGGCTCTGAAAGCTTAGAGCACTCACAGCTGTGAGTGTTTTGCTGAGTCAAGCTGCCAAGAAGAAACTGTGTGTGGGGGGAAGGCGGGGTGCATTTTCCCCTAAAATAAGGGGTATAGGAATTAGGCCTGTTTTGGCATCAAATATGGGGGTTTTCAGGCCTCCAACATCAACAGTGGAGCATGTTCAGTCTGAGGGGTCCCCCAGATTCCCCAGAAGCACACACAGTGGGTGGGTGAAGAGAGCAGGCTGGTGAGGGGGTGGAGGGAGCAGGTGGGTGAGGTGGGTGGAGGGAGCAGGTGGGTGAGGGGGGTGGAGAGAGCAGGTGGGCACAGGTGGGGGATAGAGGAAGCAGGTGTGTGAGGGGGGTGCAGGTAGCAGGTGGGTGGGGGGAAGAGGGAGCAGGTGGGTGAGGGGAGTGGAGAGAGCAGGTGGGCACAGGTGGGGGATGGAGCAAGTGGGCGCAGGTGGGGGATGGAGGGCGCAGGTTGGTGAGGGGGTGGAGAAGCAGATGGGTGAGGGGGGGTGGAGGGAGCAGGTGGGGGATGGAGGGAGCAGGTGATTGGGGGGTGGAAGGAGCAGGTGATTGAGGGGTGGAGGGAGCAGGTGATTGGGGGGTGGAGGGAGGTGGGTGCAGGTGGTGGTGGAGGGAGCAGGTGCATGCAGGTTGGAGTGGCCGGCCTGCTGGTCAGGGTACAAGGAAGGATGCACAGCACGAGCAGAAGCAGCCCAAGAGCAATGGGAGAGTGTCATAGATGCAAATCGCCCCTGAAATGCTCGCAGATGGTTTCAGGGAACCGGAGAGCTCTGGCAGGGACTGGGATTTTTCATCTTTGGGATGTGGAGCCAGAAGGTTCTTCAGGATCCCTCTGGTTTTACCACTGAGGAGACAGATGCAGAGATGGGCCTGCCTGCACAGACCCAGCCTACAGGCTTGGGCACCTCACTGACCAGAGTGATCACGACCCATGCCCAGCCCTCCTGAGTCAGCGCATCGGACGGCGCTCTGCACGGCGCGCAGGGTGGCTTCAGGGTTGCGTGTGCACACTGGGCCTCCTCCCGTCCCCCTGGAGCACTGTGAGCACTTGAAGCAGACGGCCTTACGTCACTGGCAGGAGGTGTCTTCAGTGTGGGTTCCATCAGCGTCCCTGAGGTAGCAGGCTGGTAGGGACCTAGCAAGCTCCTGGCCTCCTCATCCAGATGGGAAACTGAGGCCATGGCCAGTGGGAGGCCTACCCAGAGCCCAGCCTGTGGGACCACTGCCTTGGAGGAAGGGGTGGCTGTGGAGGGTCCGGGTGGGTGGGGTGGCCCCTGGCACTTTGGAAGGGAGAGGAAACCCAGGGGCTGGGTGGTCTGCTGCTGGTGGGAAATGAGTGCCACTCCCTCCCACCTCACACCCCTGTTCTCAGCAGCACGGCCATTGGGCGCCCTCATCCCTGTGGCTCAAGGTGGCCTCTGGAGTTCCAATGGCTCTCCTGGTCTTGGAGGGCCCCTGGGCACCCGCAGAACCACTGCAGCCCGGGGTGTGGAGTGGGACAGGACAGCTCCCTCAGGTCCCTGCCGCTGACCTGGTCCCTGGGGAGCCTGGGTTATTTCTGGAGGTCTTCGTGGGAAGGTCAGCGAGCCCCACTGCACAGGGGGAAGCAGCTTACCCTGGAGATCACCAGGCATGTCGGACGAGGAGCAGAGGGTGGCCAGCACCTCGAGTGTGGCATCAACATGTGGGGGTCCCGCGGGCACCAGCAGACGTCTGTGTCAGAGGGTACCAAGCTCGCTGCTCGCTCCTCAGCAGGACCCACCGCTGTCCCTGTGAGAGGGCTGCCAGCTTTGCACCCCGGGCCTGCCCCGTGTTGGCATGTGGGAGCGTCCACTGACCTGGCCACAGGAGGAAGCAGGGCTGGGCCCTGGAGGACTGCCTGGCAGGAGCTGGTACTCAGGTGGGCTCCTCCGGTCCCCAGGTAGACCCCGCTGGCCTTGGCCAGGGCTGTGTGGGCCCAGGAGGGAGGAAGAAGGGGACCCTGGCCCAGGACGGCAGGAACCAGGGCAGGGCCGGGCCTCCCACCCACAGGGAGCCGGCCCCAGGGAGAAGCTGCAGGTGGAGCTTGGGCCATCCTGGCCGTGCAGGCAGGCTGGGTGAGCAGGTGTCAGTCCAGGGTGCCAAATCCAGCCTGGTGGACAGCTCTGTTTCCCCATCTGATACAAGGGGACCCTTTCTTCCCCTGAGAGCTAATGTGGGACCTCCGAGGGAGCAGTCACTGGGAGACAGGCTTTGCCTCCACATGGTTTGGGGACCCTCAGCTCACTCTGACTGTGAAACATTTCTTGGTCACTGGTAAGATCAAGTTACTTCCGTTTCCCTGCTCCCCAGGGCCCTTGTCCACCTGACACTGACCAACAGACTCAATAGGTGGAGCCCAGTACTCACGGAAGACGAGAAGGAGAAACCGAGGCTGCGTCAGGAGGTTCAGCCCACCCTACCCCTGTAGAGTTTGGGCTCATTGTGGAAATCCCTCCCTTCCAGCCCTGGGTTCTGTTCCAAGCCCAGCTCTCTGAGAACACCCAGCCCTGCCCTGGGGAACAATGGGGGGGTTGGGGGGGGCGAGCAGGAGGCTGGGGGTGCCACGGTAGCAGATTCTGGAACTGGGGGAAGGGGCACTGAGGGACACAGCTGGGCTTCGCACACAGGGTGCTGTCCAGGCGGAGGTGTCCTACTGCATGTACTGGTTTCTCTATGATCGCAGGAAACCCCATCCTGGCCGCAAGAGCCCCGTGCTCTGGGGTGGATGCTGGCACTGGTGAGAGGAAGGCAGCCCAAGCTGTGCAGGAGAGGCGCTCTTTTTATTGAGTTGCAGTAGCATCTTAGGAAATGTCTGCAGAGCAAGGGCCCCACCCCGGCCCCGCCGCAGCCAGCCCCTTCCTCTCCACGAGCTGGCCCTACACCAGGGGCCCTGCCAAAGCCGCGTGGGTGGTGGGGGTGGGTGCCCATGTCAGTGGGCCTCCTGGGGTGATGCAGGTCCCCCCACCAAAGGGGCTGTAGCAGCGATGTCTCAGGAGTCGTGGTTCAGCTCGTTGAAATGGAAAAGTACCAAGCAGCACGATTTGGAAAGTTCCACTGCTGATCTCCAGAGCAGAAAAGGCTCCCTCCTCGGTGAGGTCCGGCTTCTCCTCACACCTGCCGCCCAGGGCCCCTTCCTCTTCCTCCCTCTCCTCCCCCACCTCCTCCTCCAGGCCAGGCCCGGGGAGGAGGGAAGTGTTCCCATAGGGGAGGGGAGGGTGTGGTGCCCAGCCCACCTGTGAGGGCCGGGGACCTGCACCTGGAGCTTCGCAGAGGCGTTTTCAGGGGATAAGGTGTGAGGAGGCCATTCAGGAAGAGCCCACAGAACCAGTGCCAGGGAAGGGAGGTCAGAGGGCATGGCTGGGACCCCCAAAGGAACTAGAGGGCTGAGAGCATCGATGTGACACCTCTGTCCCTGTTCCTTGGCAAGGACGTGGGCCTCAGCAGAGCTGCATGTGTAGGGGCCTCCCTCCCCTTGGGCACGGCCTCTGTGGCTGACTGGCAGAGCAGGGAGGGTCTGCCTGCCTTTGCTCCCCCGGGGCCTCTTCCCCCAGGGACTTGCCCCCCACTACTCCCCGAGGCTGCCCCCGGTTGTGGCCCCCAGCTCCCGGGGGCTGCCCTGGCTGAAGAGCAGGCCAGGGGACTAGTGTGGCCTTCTGGCATTTGCTACAGGCTCGGAACCTCCTGGACTTGTTGAGTTTGGTTTTTGCTAGCCCTGGAGTCCAGGGAAGGCAGAGGAGAAGGGCTGGCGATGCTTCCGGGCAGTACTTCACTCCAAGCTCGGGATGGCCTTTGGTCCCCGCTGGAGTCAGCCCAGCCCTGGGCCGCCTTCTGGGGACGCTGGTCGGAGCAACATGCACGTGGACTAGATACGCGGCGAAGGGGAGCTGCCGCCCCGCAAAGTCGCTCCGGACGGGGCACGAGGCGAGGCCTCTGGTTCTATTTCTCAAGCCGCAGAGGGGCAGCCTCCCGGCCCCGCGGCCACCGCTGCCCTGTCCGCCACCGCGGTCAGGCCGGTCCTGCCCGCGCCCACGGCGCGTCCGCGGAGTCCCCGGCCAGGTCGGCGCCGTCAGGCCCCTGCGAACTGTCCTCTGTGGCGGTGGGGGAGCGCGTGCTGTCTTCGCGCAAGGCCGGCTCGGGGCTGGCGGCGCGCTGCTGCTGCTCCTTGAGCTCGGAGTAGGAGCGCGAGAAGGTGTGGAAGATGGAGGTGACCGGGAAGGCCATGAGCAGGATGCCGCTGAGGATGCTGCTCAGCGCCACCACCTGCCCGGGGAGGCTGCGCGGCACCATGTCGCCGTAGCCCACGGTGGTCATGGAGATGACGGCCCACCAGTAGCTGGCCGGCACGCTAGAGAAGTCGCGGCGCGCGCCCAGCTCGCGCTCGGCCAGGTGCACGAGCGGCGCGAAGAGCGCCATGGCCACGCAGAGGAAGAGCAGCAGCAGCCCGAACTCGCGCGCGCAGCGGCGCACGGTCAGGCCGAGCGAGCGCAGCCCCAGCGAGTGGCGCGCCAGGCGCATCACGTAGAGCACGCGCAGCGCGCGCAGCAGCCGCAGCACCAGCCCCGCGCGCTCCAGCAGCTTGTTGCCGCCCGCGCCCGCGCCCGCGCCCGCCCGCGCCGCGCCGCCCGCCGCCAGGCCCACGAGCAGCGACACGTAGAAGGGCAGGATGGCCAGGATGTCGATGATGTTGAGCGGCGTCCGCAGGAAGGCGCACTTGCTCTCGGCCTGCAGCGAGCGCAGTAGGAACTCGAAGGAGAACCAGGCCACGCACACCGTCTCCAGCACGAAGAGGTTTCGGCACTTGGGGGAGCACTCGCCCTGGGGAGGAGAGGGGGACACGTGTTAGGGGCAAGGAGCGGGGGATGTCACTCCCCGTGCCTCTTGATCCCAACCGATGCGAGTGTGCCACTGCAGGGGCCAAGGGGTATCGCAAAACCCAGTTCCTGTAAAAAAGATGTACTGGGAGATTGGCTTCTGGCGTGACAGCATGAGGAGCTCAGCTGGCCCGCTCCCCAGCAAACCCGATGAAAATCATCAAAAAAACACAAAACCATTTAAAGCCTCTGGAACTGGTCCTAAGAGGAAATAGCAAATGGAACATCTGTTCAAGAAAATCTGTGAAAACTCGGTAAGAAGGGCAAGAGTCTTTAGTGTTTGAACCAAGACCCCCGCGCGGCCCCCCAGCAAGGAGACTGTGCTCCAGAGGCTGCAGCGGGGACGCATGGCTCCCGCCCCCAGCCCCCCGCCCGGGGCTTTCTTCCCAGGAGGAGTGGGACTCCAGCGTTGCTCGTCCTGCCCCCAGCTCCCTGCTGCTGGCTGAGTCCCAGCTCAGGGCAGCTGAGAAGAGGGGCGCCTTCTCTCGCCCAGCTCCACAGGTGGGGTGGAATGGAGACTCTACCTGGTGGCGCACGGAGAACACTGGGGCCCCACATCGCCCTTGCCCAGGCTTGTGAGGGTGGTTTCCCCAGGAGAGGCAAGCTAAAGGACCTCGGCCTGCTGCCTTCCCCTCCCTCCACAGAGCACTCAGCTCTGAGAATGGGGAATCACCAAGAAAGAGGCTTACTACTGTGCCCATCCCCATCCCCAAGCCCTGGTGCAGAGGTTTCACCTGGTGGCTGGGGGACGGAGGGGATGGGGGGAGAAGCAGGCCGGAAGGCAGCTCCTGTTTTTTCCCAAAGAAACAGACTTCATTTGCAACAGAAAGTGGTGAAGTCCAAACCCAAGAGTGCTTTCAAGAGCAGTGGCAGTTGTAGAAGGAAAATGAGGAGATTCACGGATCTAATGAAGACACAGCCTAGGCTGCAGGCTGGCTAGTTTGCAGGAAGAACTGGGGTAGAGGACATCTGGAGGAGCCCTCCTGGGGTCAGAACAAATACCGGACACTGGCCTCAGAAACTATTCCATCCCAAGAGCCACAGTTTGACTGGCTCAGTTAGTAGAGCAATTTGTGCCTCAGGACATTGCTGAAAACAACAGAGGAATCAGCCAGCAATTAGAGGATTTCACAGCTGGGTGTGGTCAGGGAAAGAAAGAGAACCCTGCCCCAAGCACTGTCATCCCAGGGTGACCGGGGGTGTCCCCAAGCTGGGCCTCCCTGGGGAGCAATGGCAAGGGCTGAACGCTGTGTATGTGTGTGTGTGAGGTGTGTGTATATGTGTGTGAGTGTGTGGTGGGAGGGGAGCAAGAATAGACTTCACTAAAATAATCCGGCCAATTTCTAAACAAACAAGTGAATAGCAGTAAAAAGCCCTGAGTGGGGGGCAGCATCAGGGTTGCTACAATGGCTCAGGCAAAGAAACAGAAAAGCACGACCCATCATCAGAAAAAAATAAGGCAACAGAAACTGCCTGTGAGAATGACCAAGTGTCAGATTTAACAGCAAAAGACTTCGAAATAGCCATTATAAATGTGTTCACAGAACTAGTGGAAAGCTTGATTAAAGAGGTAATGGAAGGCTTGATAACAATCCATTGCATCAAGTGAGAATATCAATAAAGAGAAAATTTTAAAAAGAACCAAATGCAAATTTGGGAGTTGAAAATTATAATAACAAATGAAAAACTCACTAGAGGAGCTCCATGGTAGTTTTGAACTGGCAGAAGAAAGAATCAGTGAACTTGAAGATACGTTGATAGAGATTATGCAGGCCAAAGAAGAGAGAGGGAGAAAAATGATGAGTCTCAGAAAAATGTAGGGTACTGCTAGTCCACCAACATGGGGAAATGCAAGTACAGAGGAGAGGGGAGAGAAAGGAGAAAAATGTTCCAGGAAGTAACAGCTGGAAACTTTCAAATCTATTGAAAAATGATAACCTACAAATCAATGAACTCCAGGAGGGGTAAACGTAAAGAGACCCACAGACACATCACAGTAAAAATGCGGGAAGTCAAAGGCAAGGAGAACATCTGGAAAGCAGCAGAGAAAATAACACGTCACTTGTGAGGCAACTCCAATAAGATAACAAACTGACTTCTAAGCAGAAACAGTGCAGGCCAGAAGACAGGGGATAACATATTCAAAGTGCTCAGAAAAAAACCATTTACCAAGAATCCTATATGTAGCAAAGCTCTCATTCAAAAATAAAGGGGGAAATGAAGACTTTTCCAGATAGATAAAACTGAGAGAATTCGTTTCTAGGACACCAGCCTTACAGAAAATCTGAAAGGAAGCTCTTCAGGCTGAAAGCAGGTGATCTAGAACTGTCATAACCTCGGATTTGGCAAAGGATTCTTAGATATGACACCCAAAGCACAAGCAACTGACAAGAGATTTTCACATATTGAGGTATGTGTGGTAACTATTCGGGTTCAAAATTGATTCAAGATCAAAACTTGAACTAAAAAGCCTGACTTCTGGCCTATCAAACGTACATTGTACATCTGCTGTAACCATTGAAATAAAGAATGCACTCTCTTAAGGTGAGAATGGATACTTCCCCTCCTAGCCCGATTGCTAACATTCTGTTGGTAATGCCAGGATTAGTCCCTTTCCCAAAGTCAGGGTCATGTTGACCTGCTAATCTGCAACTAAATACCTCTTTGAAACTTTGATGAAAATGTATCCAGGCTGTGTTTAATGTATGTTCTTTGTTCTACGAAGATATAAGACTACTGAAAACCATGCTTCTCCAGAATGCTTTCTAAGGCCTTCCGGGTTATCATCCTCAATCTCGCTCAGGTAAACTCACTGTACTTTTCTTATCTATAGAATGCTTATTGGTTATTTTGCATCGATATTTCTTGGTGTACTGCAGCAGGATTTCAGAGAAACCCACCGGAGACCACCTGGAACCAGTTTGAACAGGCACTTGGTACCATGCGGGCCCATCTGAACTTTGTTCAAATACCACCATCTCAAGGATCTAAGTATCTTAGTAATGATCTATGTGTTCTCACATTGGGTTGAGGCCTTTCCTTGCGGAAGAGTGAAGGCTTTAGCAGTAGGCAACTTATTGGAAAGGGTAATTCCTGTCTGGGGAATTCCTACTGAGTTTTTCAGTGACTGGGGAGCTCATCCCACCACACAAATTATTAAATCTATTTATGGCATTTGGCCAATAATGCAGCATTTTAACTAACCATATAATCAGAACTCACTTGGCAAATCTTTCAGAAGCATTCAGTCTCTGGTGGCCAAAAGCTCTTCCGCTAGTACTTGTCCATCTTAGAGCTACACTGTAAACATCGGCTGTCTCCTTTTGAAATAATAACAGGACAGTCTATGCAATTAGATGAGGAAATGTATGAACCAACTTTGCTTAAGGGAGATATATTACATTGTTGCCAGGGTCTCATGGAGGTGCTTAAAAGAAATGAAAGATTGCTAGCTGATTCCTTTCACAGAGAGCTCCCAGGAGATGAAGACCTTAAGGATCATGGACTATAACCTGGAGAATTTATTTATTGGAAGAGGCATCAAATAAAATACTCTCTGCAGCCCCGTTGGAAAGAACCATAGCAGATAATTTTAACCATTCTGTACACTGCAAAATTAAAGGGCATAGACTCATGGATTCACATTTCTCATTAAAAAGCCTCCTCTGCCTGGGTAGATTTCAACTCCTGTTTCTGACACCTGACTTTGACTGACCAAGACAAATACCTCCAAACCAGGATGAGAAGACGGCGGCATCTGTTGTAGACAGCTGTCCCTAGCTTCCAGACCAGGCCTGTATTCCCAACCTTATATCTCCTCATTTAAACCCCTGTAATGCTGAAACCATATATCCATTTTATAATTGTTCCATTTAAGGTTTTCGAATGCTATTATACTTAAAGAAAGTGGTTGGTTAGGAACACACTGGTCTTGAAGGCAGGCATTTATTGGATGGCTCCTGGTGGAACTCAGTGGTTGTATGGGACAAACCTCTGGCCTTGGCTGCCACCTGGGTGGTTGGGACGCTGCACCCTGGGTCCCCTGGACGCAGGGAAGGGTTTGCCCTGAGCTAACATCTGTTGCCAGCTTCCTCTCCTTAAGGCCAGATGGGCTCGCTCAGTGTTCCACTGGTATGGCCACCCAGCGGCTATATTTGCTCCTTCTTTGGAGCTAGAAGATGTCATATATCACATATAGAAGCCCTGACTAAATTTACTCAACAAGTCCTTAATGATAGTCAAGTAGGAATAGCATTATCAAATAGTGAACTGTCTTTAATGAGAGAGGCTGCCCTTTAAAATAAAATGGCTTTAGAAATTTTAACTGCATCCCAAGGTGATATGCGTGTAATCATTAGGACTAAATGCTGTGTTTTTATCCCCAGTGAATCTTCCAATGTGCCCTCTCTGCTAAAGCGCGTGAAAAACCAGGTGAAAGCCCTAAGCAATCCCACACCTAGTTGTGATTTATTTAGTTGGCTCCCTTCCGGAATTGGCTCCCTTTTGCAACCCAGATGGCAATTCCTATTTCTATTACTCCTTGGAATTCTTGTATTAGTTATAATATTCAAACTACTGTTTTCTTTACTCAGTGTTGTAAGACTGGCACGTAAGCTAGAGTAATGATTGCTTGGTGACTTGAGATGGTCGATCGATCTTACAACCCTGGATGAATTTCCTTTTCTGATAAAGACTATACCTAAGAACTTATTTTAAACTAATCATTTCAAGTATTCAATTATCTATTCTACAATAGTCATGAACAATGTAACTATAGGACGTCATGTAAAAGCACATGTATGTTTGTGCAATAGTCTAAAAATAATTGACAAATTACATAACCTACGAAATGCTTCCTCTGTTGATATATACCTCTACGCTTGTCCACTATATCTGACTATTTCCCCCCAACGTGGATAACTGGGCAAATCAATGACATAAAAGCCCATCACTGAGGGACATGATGGGCCCAGGGCAGGCAGGAGCCACCCTGGCACCGAGGGACAATATTTTGATCAGCAATGCTTTCTATCGGAAGATTATTGCTCAAAAGGGAGAAATGACAAGTACGTTCTTTGTTTTAAAAAGATATAAGACTGTACTGAAAACCATGCTTCTCCAGAATGCTTTCTAGGGCCTTCCAGGTTATAACCCTTACCGTGGCTCAAGTAAAACTCACCTATTTCTCTTCTCTATACAATGGTTACTGGTTATTTTTTGTCGACACAACCAAGATAAAATAGATGAATTAAATATCAAAATTAAAAACTTCTGTGCTTTAAAACTGTTATGGCCTGAATTGTTTCTCTTCAAAATTCCTATGTTGAAGTTCTAACTCCCAGCACCCAAGAATGTGACTACATTAGGAGATGGGGTCTCTAAAGAGGTAATTGAGGTAACATGAGTTCATGTGGGTGCCCTGATCCAATCTGACTCTCCTCATAGGAAGAGGGGATTAGGACACAGACTCACAGAGAGGGATGAACCGTGTGAACACACAGGAGAAGACGCTGTCTACACAGCAAGGAGACAGGCCTTAGAGGAGACCAACCCTGCCAACACCTTCATCTCGAACGTCCAGCCTCGGGAACTGTGAGAACATGAGTTTCTCTTGTTTAAGCCACATGGTCAGTGGTACTTGTTATGGAGGCCGGAGCAGACTGACAGACACCATCTGGAAAGTAAGACAACCCACAGAATGGGAGAAAACATTTTCAGGTCTTATCTCTGGTAAGGGACTTGTATCTATGAAATATAAAGGATTCTTACACCTCAATAATAAAAAGACAAACAACCACATATTAAAATGGGCAAGGGATCTGAAGAGACATTTCTCTAAAGAAGTATATAAAAGAACAAGTATATGGAAAGATGCTGAACATCATTAACCATCAGGGAAACGCAAATAAAAACAACCATGAGATCCCACCTCACACCCACGAGGATGGCTAGAAAGAAAACTCAGATGACAACAAGTGTTGGTGAGGATGCAGAAAAAACGGAGCCCTCATGAAAAAACACTGCTGATGGGAACGTGAACCAATCCAGTCATTTTGGAAAACAGTCTGGCAGGTTCTCAAGTGACTAAACATGGAGTTACCGCCGACCCAGCAGCTCTACTCCCAGGTGTGTGCCTGGGAGAAGTTAGCACATATGTCCACACAGAAACTTGTACAAGAATGTTCACGGCAGCATTATGCATAAGAGCCAAAAGGTGGAAACAAACCAAGCGTCCACCACTGACGAACGGATAAACAAAATGTGGCAGATCCACACAATGGGATGTTATTGGGCCGTAGAAAGGAGTGAGGCGCTGACACCTGCCATACCACCAGTGGACCCTGAAGACAATTCGAAGTGAAAGAAGCCGGTCACGAGAGACACAGGCTGTGCGGGTCTGTCCTCTGTGAGGCCCAGAGTAAGGACATGCATGGAGACAAAGTAGAAGTGGTTGCTCAGGGCTGGAGGGGAGCGGCTGCTAAGGGGCAGGGGTCTCCTTGGGTGACAGAACGTTCTAAACTTACATTGCGGTGATGGCTGCACAGCCCTGTGAACACACTGAAGGCCACTGAATCCTGTACTCTACAGGGTGAGTCGTACGGCGTATGAATTATATATCAGTAAAGCTATTTTTAAAGAGACTGACCTCTAGGTGAATCCCAGAGTGTGTGGCTGTTTGTGGACCATGGGCGGGGACAGCAGGCCTGCCAAGGCCCCGGGTACCCCAGCAGGCGCTTGGGGCGGGGGCCTTGAGAGGAAAGAAGACAGAGAACATGCAGACCTCTCCCAGCTGCCCAGCTGCTGGAGGGCCCTGGTCTGGCCAGGTCTCACCTTTAACCCTGAGCCCCCACCCAGCCTAAGTCCCTCCCCGGGCGACCTCTCTCATGTCAAGGAACTGGAGAAACATCAGAACACACCAGACAGCTGACGCCTGTCATGCTCACTGCTCGAGTCTGGGCTCAGCCTCCCGGGTGCCTTGTGCCCACCTGGCTCAGGCCCATCTGAGCATCAAGGACACAGCCTCATGCCAGTCCGGCTCCCTGAGCCCTCTCACCAGGTGATAAAGCTTGGGGCTGGCAGAAGAGACCTTCCACCACCAGCAGACAGCACTTGAGAACCCATCGGATACTCCAGATGGAGAACAGGTCATGGTTCAGCCATCAATTGCAAAACCCGGCAAACATCTGCAGCATTGGTACTGAGGGCACCGAGGTGAGTGCGCCCACAGGCTGCTCCTGAGTCCTGTCTTGTATGTTCAGGGCCAGACACTGATGCATCACCTGGTCTGCAAGGAAACCGGGCACACTTGGGTCCTGCAAGCCTCTCTCCAACCCGCACTTTCCAAGCCAGCCACTCTCTGTGTGTATCGGGCGGAGCCCGGCCGTCCCATTAGCGGCTGCCGGAGCCCAGTCCCTGGGCCTCTACATTAATCATCATCCTTGTGTGCTTGAAATACTGGCCACCTGCTCACTCCCTCCATGGTCCCTGGCACAAGGGTGGGCCCTGGGCAGGTGGGTCTCTTCTCAGAAAAGGTGATGGGGCCTCCAGCCCAGATGAAGGGGCCGCCGAGGCTGTGGGAGGAACTTCCGGTTTCCAGATCCTCTCCTGGGGCACGTGGGTCACAGGTCAAGGGTCTTCAATGGCCTGTCCTCCCGAGAGGCCTTGCGGGCCCCACGCCTCCCTGCCAGGTCAGCACTGTGTCGGCCAGGCCAGGGCCTTTCCAGGGGTCGCCCGGCCCATCCCGGCTCGGGAGTGACAGCTCTCTCCAGGCGCTGACTGTGTCCCTTCCAGGAGCGTCCACACCTGTCTGTGCCCCTCACTGAAGGAGCAGCAGGGCTGCAGCCTGACTGGAGGGGCCCAGACTCTTTGGGACAGGTCTGTGGCATGGCCTGGGTCCGAGAATGTCGGTTTCAGCTCCGTGTGCGGTTCTGTGGTGTCTCCCAGCCCGTGTCCCTCTCTGTCATGGGGGGAGGGCAGAGGCGGCTTGCTGTCATCCTCGGGATTAGGATCTGCTGTGCAGGGAGGGGCCCCCACCCCGCCTGTGCCCCCTGATGTGCTCTGCGCCCACACTGGCCTCTCAACCACTCCCACCTGCCGGCTCCCCCCAGCCAGAGCCAGTCCCGGGCACAGGCCAGGGTGCGACGGCAAGCGTGGCTTCCAGAAGGGCGCAGCAGCTCTTCCTCCTTCTCAACAGTGCCGAGGGAACCCGGGGAGGGTCGTGGCTGCTGGGCTCTGCTCCCCCTGTGGCATCTGGCGACAGTCACAGACCCTAGGGGTAGGACACCTGGGAGTGAGGCCAGCGGGAGGACAGCCCACAGCCGGCGGGAGCAGCGGTTAGGGGCAGGGGCACAGCATGGGTGCTGCCTCTCTCCCTTCCGGAAGGTTCCCTCTCTTAGGATGCGTGTCCCAGGAATCCCAGTGTGCAGAGCCTGGCACCATCCGCAGCTTGCCGCTGATGGTGGCCCAGACCTGAGGTGGAGGGGCCTTGGGGGAGGGTCTGGGCCTGGGCCCTGCCCCCCAGAAGAGTCTGACGACCTCAGCCCAAGGGTGTTCAGTGGCCCTGGGACTCACAGCCCCAAAATCCACACAACGTCCCATTCGGGGCTGATCGCAGGCCCTGGGTCCCCATCATCTCAGCATGGCAGGCAGCCCCAACCCAGCGCAGCTTCCAGCACCATTTGGGTGGGCAGACGGGGAGAGGAGACCTCTAGGGGAGGGCCTTGCCCCACGCATGAGGAGTGACCCCAATGTGCCCGCCTGGAGCCCGCAGATTTGGAAAGAGATGGACCCCCCCCCCCCCCCCCGCCATCTCCTTAAGGACCAGCCTGCAGGTTAATGGGAGGAAGCTATTTCTGGAACTTTCAACCCAGAAAACAGACCTCGATTTATCATAATTTGACACATCTGGCCTATTTGGCCAAAATTGGTCAGAAATAAATCTATGTTCAGCCTGGCTCACCCAGTTTTGAAGCCCCTGCCCTCTTTGGTCTCCTCTGGCTTTCTCTGGCATTTCCCTGACATTCACGTTTTTAAATCAGGCCACGAGCAGCAGGTGGCCCTGATGCATTTGCCGTGGGTTATCTGTGTGTGGCTGGCCTGGGTGAGTGACACGGGTGTGCCCGGTGGCCATGGTGCTGGGCCTGGGGTCCAAGTGGTGGCTCCTCTGCCCGAGCTGCTTAGCTTCAGGAGGAGGCTCCTGGGGATCACTCTGTGCCCCCACCCAGGACTGACCACTGGGGCTGGATTGGGGGTCCTGCTGACGGCTTCTGCCTGTCTGCTGTTGGGGCCAAGGAGAGCTCTGGTCCTGGGTCCTGGGTCCCAGGTGGCATGGAGAGGACATGGAGATCCCAGGACAGACACTTCTAGAGGGAGAGAACATGGACCCCAAACTCTGCGATGGGTCTGGCCTCGCTGGCTAGCAGTGGCAAAGCCCCACTTCCCTCCTTCCAGTGGGCGGGGCTGTCCCAGCCTGCCCTTCGTGTCCCCGTGGAATTCCTATGGGAAGGGAAGTGAGTGTGCTCACGTCTGCAGGAACGTGTGGGACCCATCGCCCTCCCATCCCAGAACAACAGCCCTGAACGTACCAGGAAGCCACACAAATGTACACACCAGCCCGGAGCCAGGCAGGCAGCACCCGTGTCCCAGCTCTAGAACCTGCCCGCACTCCTGCTCAGATATCACAGCACTTCCTGCTCTGCACAGGAAATAGGAGGTCATAATAAAGGGCAGCCCAGGAGCCAGAATCCCCCTTATGCCCGGTCCACCATGCTGGGCCCTGAGCCCTGACCCGCCCGTCCTGGCCACCCCACCTCTAGCTGTCTGTGTGGGTGCCGGGGGCCGAGGAGGGAAGTATCAACGTGAGGGGCTCCCCTGAGACGTCTCTGCAGCCCCACAGCTGGACCTGGTGCAGCTGGGCCAGCAGATGCCAAGGGGCAGGGACAGGCCCTCTGCTCCCTCGGAGCTGGGGCACTGGGTTCTCAATGGGGGTGCAAGTGCCAGGCTGGGGTGCATAGGGAAGGAGGCCTCTGGAAGGAGGGCTGCCCAGAGGCGAGTCGGGTCCTGAGAGGTGGGGAGAAAAGGCAGGGGGATCTTGGCACCGGGTGTTCAGGAGCTGGTCTCTGGGGAAGGGGACAGAGAGGTCGGCTTGTCCAGGGGACACTGGAGCCCTGGAGGCCGAAGGGGAGGCTGAGGGAGGTCAAGAAGGGGCAGGGAGGCCCACGGGAGGCGAGGGCCGAGCCTGCAGCAGTGCAGAGACCGAGGGATGGGAGGAGTGGGGTTTTGGAAATGGACACATTAGGAAGTGGTGACCGACTAGGCTGGGGGGGCCAGGGGGCAGGACACATGACCGTCTCCACCCAGACAGGCGAGGGGGTTCACTGGGACGGGCAGGACCCTGCAGAGTGGAAGTCCCACAGAAACGCCTGGGGTGGATGCAGATTTGTGCTGCTGCGCAGAAGGATCAAGGCTGCGGAAAGACCCGGGATGGCCTGGAGAAGGGTGGCCCCGAGGCCGTGGGTGGGGAGTTGAGGGGCAGAGCAGACGGGAGGAGCCCAGGCCCCAGGGCCCAGAGAAACGTGCGTTGGCGCGGGCTGGGAGACCCGCTGGACCCACTGCCAGGAAGCTCGGGAGGACATCCGGAGAGGCGGGGTGTGGGGCAGCTTGGGGCTCCTTTCCCCTCAGGACAGCACGGAAGCTTCCAGCAAAGGCTTCCTTGAGCTGGTGAGGCCTGGAGTCTGTGAGCAGAGGTGAGTCGAGACTCTAGGAACAGAAGGGGGTCCACTGAATGGGGAGAGGTCCCAGGAGGGGAGGAAAGAGCCCCCGGGGACGACCTCGTCAGGTCTGGGACAGGAGACCCGAAGCTGCAGTTGTGGGGTCTCCTGGGGAGGGGGCGGGCGGGGGCCTGGGATGGCACACAGGCCGGCTCCAGGCTTCTGCCTGCAGGTCTGAAGGGAAGCCCTCACTCCCCTGCCCGCGCTGGAGGCAGAGCCCTCTCTGCAGACCGCAGCTCCCCACGCCCTCACTCTCCTGCCCCCAGGACTGTCCTGACGCTCCCGCAAGGCCCACGCCCGGCCCCAGGAGCACTGGTCCCCGGTGGCGTTATGAATGTTTGTCCCAAGGGCAAACACCCCTTCTTGGTCGAAGTACATCAGACACTGTGTGCCCCACCCGAGTGGCAGCCCTGGGATCCAGGAACCAACCTGCAAAGTCTGCATAAGCAGCCCCAGCAGGCGCCTGAGCCTTGGGCTGTGGCCTCAGCTCCTTTCTTGTAATTTGGTTTCTTTCTAGGATGGGAACTGGACACCCTCTAATTCCTGTGGCCCAAGAACCAAAGGTTGGCTGCCTCCACCGAAGTGGCTCAGTCAGCGAGTTCAGCTTGAGCTCATTACAGACACACCTGTGAGGATGGGGGATGGCTGGCGGGGCCCACTGCTCCCACGTCCAGGCATTGCCGAGCCGAATGCCAAAGCTGGTGCCTCTCTTTAAACGTAAGTCAGTGGTATCATCCTCCACAGCCACAAGAAACCACCCCACCACCAAACTGTTAGGAACACCCTACAGGGATGTGAGCTAGAGTTTCCCCAGGGCTTCCTGGGAACGGAACTGTCGGTTTGTCAGACAGGAACATCTTCATATTTATCAGAAATTGCTGGCTTATTCCCCTAAACAGCTACATAAACTTAACAGGCTCTCCACCAGGCCAGGGTCACCTGGGCCCCAGCCCAGGCCAAGGATCTGGAGGCCCAGGGTGGCTCCAGAATTGGTAGAAACTTCTGACAAATGTATTTTAAAAGCATTCAAAAGGCTGTGTACAAGTCGACCTGGAAATCCTAGTTTGGGCAGTGGGTTCTCAGGGAATATCAGAAATGCCCACAGATTATGTTGGAGGATATGCTCTCTTCTCAGACCCATGCTAAAGCCATGTGCCCCCTACAACCCCCAACTCCCTGGGCAGCGTCTACAGCCAGACTGTCAGCCCAAGGCTGGCACCCCTGCTCCCTTTGCCTTTCCGGAACGTCCCATACAGTGCGTCATGCTGCATGCAGTCTTCTCCTGCGTGTGTAACCTGGGATTCACCCCTGCTGTCTCAGGAGTCAGTGGTGTGTTCTTTACTGCTGACAAGCTCGTGGCAGGGACATACCGCTGGTCATGCCTCCATCTGTTGGTGTACATGTGAGTGGTCCTCTTGGGGCTATTTCAGATTAGTGGCGTGCATGTTCACGTGCAAACCTATGTATGACAGACGCTTCCATTCTCTCGGGTAAACGCCTGGGTGGACTGCTGATCATATGGAAGTGCACTCGCTTATTCATTCTTCAAGCTTATTCGTGGATCTCTTGGGATTCTCACGAACACAGTTTTTCTTTCTAACCATGTACCCTTATTTCCTGCTCTTGCTTCATTTCACTGGCTAGGCCTTCCAGTTTTCCGTGCTGACCAGGCTTTCTCCCTGCCCTCAGGGGGCATCCAGTCTGTCCTGTTTCATCATTATGTGTGTTACCCGCGGTAGGGTTTTTAAATAGATGTTCTCTATCAGGCTAAGGAAATGCCCTCTGTTTCTGGATGGTTGCAGTTTTTTGTTTTAATCATGAATGGATACTGAATTTGCCAAATGCTTTTTCTACGCCTATTGAGATGATCACATGGCTATTTTCTCTGCTGTGTTAATATTACCAGTGATGCCAACTGACTTCAAAGCGGAACCAGCCTTGCTCTCCTGGAGAGCTCCACTTGGTCCCAACACGTGGGCCTCCCCACATGCTGCTGTGCTTGATTGACTAGTGCGCATGGAGGAGTTTGCATCTCTCTTCTTGACAGATACTGGTCTGTATATTTTTTCTCCTAAAGCCTTTGTTTGGTTTGGTACCAGGATCATATTGGTCTCATAAATGAGTTGGGAAGTGTCCCCTCCTCTTCTATTTTCTGGAAGAGATTGTGTAGAAATGCTTTTTCTTCCTTAAATTTTTGCTAGAATTCATGAGTGAAACCATCTGAGACTGGAGTTTTGTTTTTGGAAGGTTTTAAACTATGAATTAAATTTCTGTAATAAGCGCAGGATTATTCAGGTTATCCAATTCTTCTTGAGCGCGTTTTAGTGATTGAACATGTCTTTAATTTTTGTTTTGCAAAAGTAACACATGCATATATAGTTTTTTAAAAACTCCATTAATAATAAAAGGCTTATAGGAAAAAACAGTATTCCTACCCCCCACTCATTTCCCGGATGCAAGTTGTCAATTTTTAGTAGTTTCTTCTAATAGTTACTTCCATACTTTTAAATAACATGCTCGTCTGACTATTGACATGATAATTTTATGTTTCCACTGACTGTCGTTGAGGCCTGGCTCTCACATACTTCACCTCGCCGCCCCTACACGTCGGTTACTACTTTCCTCCAAACATAGTTATTCACGTTGTGGGGAAAGTCAGTAATTATTAAGACAAGGTGAATACTGGTCACTGCTGAGTCAGGTCGTGGTCTAAAAATCACTTTTTTTTTTTCCTCATAAAATGTTTTGTTTTTACTGAAGTTTTATGGCTGCATTCTAAAACTGCGCAGCTTGCTATGAATATGGTGCATTTTTTCCAAATGCTCCAGCACAACAGAGTTGATGAGTGTGTTTCCTCTCTGGTCCGCCCCCCCACGGGGACCCCTGCCCTCATGTGCAGGTGGAGGGGCGGCTTCCCTTTGCTCCCCTTGATTTGGGCTCCGTGGAGTCTGTGTGCCCCCTCTTTGGTTCACTCATCGTTCTGCTGAAGCACGTCCTCCAGTAGCTTCCTGCGGAAAGGTGCCTGGGAGGGAAGCCTGTGCATGGCTAGGAGGTCTTTGTTCTGCCTCCAAGCTTGCCTGCATGATGGCCTGACACAGTGATGGTAGAAATTCATTCCCACTCAGGATTTGAAGGGGTTGCCCCATTATATCCAAGCTTTGCTGCTGAAGTTTCAATTCACAAGAAGGTGCATAAATCATAAGTCAGGGCATTTCCAAACTGAATGGACCCACAGGACCAGCACAAAGATCAGAACTAGAATGCCACCAGCCCGGCCACCCCAGGGCCCACCATCCTGAAGACCAAGGCTGCCGTGACCGTTCACCCTTCCTACGTGACCTTGTATTTCCCTTGCTCCCCAAAGCTTCCAGGAATCCCCTTTCCCTCGAGTTTCATGGTGAGGAGCCCAGTGTGGGCGCATCTTCATCCACTGTGCAGGGTGCCCGTCAGTGCGAGACCTGCGTGCCAGGATCCTGAGACCCGAGGCCCAGCAGGCTCCCCTCAGCTGTCCCTGCTGGAATCTGCTCCGTGAGGGACGTCCTTCCTGCCTCCATGTTCCCACCCCACCTCCCCCCGTTCTCTTGGCATCTAATCCTCCAGACATGCACCAGGTCCTGTTGATCCAGGCAGTGCCGCTCCCAGTTCCCAACTGCGCCCCTCCATCCTTGACTCGCTTCCACAGCGTCTTGTTCGTTTTGTGACACAACACCCCCTCCTGCCCTCTGGGGGCACCGATGACAATTCTTGAGCATCTCTGTTTCCTGTTCAGGGCTTCTCTCCTCCAAGCCCCGTCTCACCCTTCCTTTCGTGTTATCCCTACTTGTCTCAAGTCTCAACTTGTTTCAAGTTTCCCTACTTGTCTCCTTTCCTATGAGGGGGGCCAGGCCTCAAGCAGATGACCAGATGGGGCTGGGCCTTTGTCAGGACCCTGATGCCGGCAGGCAGCTTCTCCCCGAGGAGCTCAGGTCCTCCAGAGACGGGCCCCAGGCTCCTGCAGGCAGGGGTCAGGGGTGGAGGCGTCCTGGATGGGGGAGGTATGCAGCAGGTTCTCCCACAATACCTGTTGCAGCCCCGGCACCCCACAGCCCTCTGTGGTATTTGCACCCCCAAATCCTGTTCACAGGCCTCAGGCTTCCTGGGGCAGGAAGGTGGCCGGAAGCTGTATAGTTGGGGCAGCAGGAGCGGGCTCATCTCCCACGTGCCCCACTCCCCGTCCTCAGCCTTTGTCCCCCAACAGCTGTGTGCTGCCCGAAGTCTGCAGAGCGGCCCACGTTCAGGGATCCAGGCTGCAGCACAGCAGGTGGGCTGGGTGGGAGACAGGAGACTCGGAGGGTGCTCGGGACGCCGCCCAGCCACAGCGAGGCACCGTCCACGCCAGGGAGAGAGGAGCACAGGTGCAGGCAGGCTGGCTCCGAGACCAGGGACAGTGACAGCTGGTCCATGCCAACTTCTGGAAACCAAGAGGTCTTGGAAACCATTCTCAGGAGCATAGCCTCCACAGCACGGTGTTCACTCAGTGCTGGCCCTGTTCTTATTTTCTAGGGAAATAAACAGGAGCACCAGGCCATGGTCTTCGGTGACAGAGGCTGTAGGTGGTCAGCAGCGCGATGTCGGGAAAGGCCTGACCCAGGGTGGGCTTCCATCCCCGGCTCTGTTCCCGTCTCAGAGCATCACACATTCAGTGGCATTAGCCCTTCCAGGGAGTGCTGCTGGTTCTGATACACTGTGCGCCGTTACTCTCGGTAGATTAAAGTGAAGTATACGCATGAGGAGATGAAGTAAAGGCCGTGGGTGGATTTGCCTCTGCACGCTGCACAGCCAGGGCGCCCACTGGGCTCCCAGCAGAGCCCCGTCCCCCGGGTGGGGGGTCTGAGCACAGCAAGCGTCTTCATCAGAGGCCCCAAGGCTGGCAGGCTCCTCACACTTGTCTACTATGTGATTAAGTTCCCAAAATGCTCACGTCCCTCTGCTGCCTGTGATTCTCTGGACACTGACGCCCATCCCTCCATCGACCCATCATGGACCTTGTGTAGCTGGCAAAATCATCCAGGGAAGCTGCTGTCCTCAGTGGGCAGGAAATTCAGCAGTTCCACTCTGTTCACAGACTGGACGCATGAAGGATAATCCTATAAAAAGGACTTAGCGTCGATAACTTATTTACTCATTCACTAACCACAGTGTGCAGTGTTTATCTTTAGCTTCCCATAAGTACCTGAAAGAAAACCCTTATTAACTCATTCATTAACTATGAATTTATAATAATTTGACTTTGAACTGAACTGAGGTTTATTTTTTCCAAGTATCTATGGAAAAAGGCTCTTGTAGTGCCAGTGGAGGAGGAGAAGGAACATTAAATCCACTTAACAGAACAAATTGTTTAAAAATAGCCAACAGTCATTTGCATGGAAATGATGAATGCACTCGTTTCAGATTATCTGCCCTGAAGCAGGGCTGTCAATTCCCTTTCCTGTCAACACTCTGAGGACTGGTTTCAGGCTGTCCTATATAACGAAGTGGAGACAACTTCATTACAAGGTGCCCTGCTCTGCCCTCCCCTGGTTGGAACTGGCCTGGTCTTCCAAAGGCCCCAGCGCAGCGTCTGCTGGTTCTCCTGTGAGCGATGTCCTGCCTGGATGCGGTGAGCTGTCTTCAAGAACGAGTAGGCACCGACTACCGCCAGCATCTTACATGTTGGTGTGCTGAGAAGTGAATGAGGCTGCGTGGTCCCCACAGCTGTGAACACGCGTGCACCACTGAGATTCATTCATTCACTCAACTAGCTTTGCTGAGCACATGCATTGGGCCAGGAACTGTGCTGGGGCCTCTGGGGTCCCTGCCCTCAGGCCCTGACGTCCTCGAAGGAGTGACTGACACGAGCCGTGTACAGACACAGAGGAACAAGACAGTTACAGATGGCAACCCCTCTCATGAATAAATAAGGAGGGTGTCCATCTCAGGAGAGAATGTTCCAGATCATGAATCTGAATTCTACTTGAGTCACAGAAAGGCAGGGCAAGACCATAAACTGCGGAGCTCCGTGCCTCTCTGCACAGCAAGGCCACCTGCTTTCCGGCCCCACAACCCTGGGCAGGAAGCCCAGTGGTGCCGACCAGGAAGGGCCTTGGCACCTCGGCTTCTGTGCTGGGGGCTGAGGGGAGCTGCTTTCTGATTGGGTTCAGCAGGAAGTGACTTTTTCCAAGCAAGGAGCACCTCCCCGGCAACTGCATCAGAGCCTGCAGCAGCCGGAGGGCCAGGGAGCACTGCCCCTGGGGGCTCTGAACACCCCAGCACCTCACAAGCCAGCAGGCTGTGCATCCACAGGATGAGCCAAGGTTTCCTGCGGGACCACGGCGCGGCCAACGCTGAACGGACATCCTTGGGCAAGTTCACGAGCAAAGATCCAGTCCTGCAAAACCCAGGGGGGCAGGGCCTGTGGACAACAGCAGCCTCACTGGCTGGCCCCACTGTGCTCACTTGGGGTGCTCCAATGTGTGCGCGTCAGAACACTGTCGAAGAGTCTCAGTACGACATAAGGTTCTTTATGAATTCTCCTTGACGAACTCTGCCTTGGCAGGTCCACGCACTGCACTTACACATACACGTCACACCAGCTCTGCCACCGCCAACACCGCCAGCCCCGGGGGGCTCAGTGAGTCCCTGCCAGCCCCTCACATCCTGTTTGCTCTCGGGTTCTGCACTAGAGCAGAGAAATTCCACACTCAGTAATTTTCATCTCTGCGTGATGCAGCTATTTACAAAAGTGCAGGAAAGCATTTTAAAGGTCATCTTTAAATAAAAAATGAATATTTTCCGGTCCCTTCTCATGTCCCTCAGCCCGCTACCCAGGAAGCCCCACGCCAGGCCCCACGGGCTCCTGCACTCACGAAACAGACGGAATATGCACCGACACCACCCAGTGTCAATGTCTCCTGTCTCAAGGTGAACACTGTCTGCAGCCTGAACGCATTCAGAGCTTTCTGTGTCTTCACCGTCAGCCCCTTCCCTGGGCTCAGTCCAGACACTGTCTGTCCCCCTCCCCACGTGTGGGGCAACAGGCTCCCACCCACCGACTCCTCCAGCGACCACAAGCCCACCTCCAACTCGAGCCACGACCATTCCACATTTCTGCTCCGCTTTAGTGCCTGTTCAGGAATGGCCCCCGAGTGCAGCTGGTAGAGCTCACGCTGCCACCCGCGAGGACCTGCTCTGCCTCCCTGGGCTCTGGTCCTCGTGGAGCCCCAGGCAGGGCCTCCTCACAGGACCTGGAGTCACTGCTGTGTCCTCGTTCACAGGATTAAGAATTTCAGGACCGTGACAGCCGAGCACTAAGGAAGCAGGGGCTGTCCGCGCAAGGAGCCCGCAGCCTCGGATGCCCTGAGGCCTGCCTGTGCCTCCTCATCTGTCTCCTCGGGCCTGAGAGCAGGCGCCCAACGTGCCTGTGACCCGGGCCTCAGAGAGACGGCCAGAGGGACAGAACATCTGCAGGACGCCACCTGGGAAGAGGCAGAGAGGCAGGGAGCCTCCCGAGCACAAGCCGCTTCCTGCCACGCTGACGAGCAATTTCCAGTCAACAGGCTTCTCAAAGTTAATTTCCATCCCTCTACGGGTAATTTCACCAGATGCGTGACTCCTGTCAGCACCGCTCGCGCATTCCCGTGGGAGCTGGCTCAGAGCTCTGATCCTCACGTTCTTGCCCACGCAGCTCGCCTCCCTGTGGGTCCCTGGCAGGGCCCAGGGCAGGGGACAGACCCTCAGCCAGCAGCCAGGAGCTTCCCAGCCCCGCCCAAGGGAGGAGCCGCGAGCTGGCTTTTTCTCTTCTTGAATACAGTTACTCTGCAGTCCATGTCTGCAATTCCAGCATTCAAAGTCCCATGGATCTGCTTCAGCCTTCCTTCCTTCTCCGGACTGGTATTCACGGTGGCGTGCCTCTCCGGCACCTGTCTCTTTGACTGAGTGCTGAAAACTGCTTTTGAGAAAAAATAAAGTAAACAAATACATATATAAATAAATATTTAAAAGCTGCAAAGAATTTTAGTCTTATTTGACTCTTTATAGTAAGACATTTATGTCTTCAAGTTTTTACCATTGTTTTGTTTTGTTTTTTGCTGAGGAAGGTTGGCCCTGAGCTAACATCTGTGCCAGTCTTCTTCTATTTTGTATGCCGTATGTTGCCACAGCATAGCTCACGAGTGGTGTAGGTCCGTACCCAGGAACCGAATCCGGGCTGCTGAGGTAGAGTGTTCCAAACTTAACCACTAGGCCATGGGACTGGCCCTTGTTTTCACCATTTTATAAGCAACAGTTCACAGAAACATGCAATTCCAATGATCTCTTGGAGTAAATTCCCAGAAGTGGATTTCCTAAGTCAAGTGGAAGCGTGTTTGATACCTGGGTAGACGTCTCCACATTGGCCTCCTCTTCAGACTCCCTTCAACAATACACGGAAGGGCTCATGTCTAAACACCCTCGCAGGCACGGGTGTGGTCAGTTATTCTAGTCTTTGCGAACAGGGTAAGTAAGATGCTGTCTCCTTGTTTAAATGTGCATCTCTCTGATCATAAAGGAAACATCTTTTCCTATGTTTTGCCATTACTCATCCTCTTTAATTTCTGGCTCATATCTTAGCCCTCCTTTGTACTGAGATGCCATTATTTTCTTATAAATGTTTGAATTTCCTCTATATGAAGGATATTAGCCCTTGGTCATATACACTGCAATTTTATTCTTAGATTTCAGTTCTTTACTGTTTAAATTGGGGAAGTGGAGGCTTTCATTAATTTTATTTTTTTTAAGATATATGGACTCTAGGTCATTTTATTTATGCTTTATTTTCAGAAGAATAAACTCCATGATTGAAAATTATGGCTGTGTTCATTTTTTCTTATCACCTTCAAATAAAATTCATAAAAATCAATGTTCCTAATAATTAGGATACATAAAAATCATCATCCTTAATGTAGTCTTTATTAAACATTACTTCCCTATTTAATAACACAAATAATGAAAAGGTAGTGACTACAATGTGCTTACATCTTGTCTATATAAGTCACTATGATTATTTGTAAAAAAAATGATGTTTTTAATCAATAACCAATAAATAGATCTCTTTCTAATAATTATGCATAATTTAACTTGTAACTGGTTTTCATTTCCAGAAGATTGGCTTGCACCACGTGTGAGAGAGTACCCAGTTAGCACAAGGCCTTACTTCTAAACGTGCAGGGCACAGAGGACGGGGGTGCTGCATCGAGGTCTTCTCATTTAACTCCTGAGAGCACACAGTACAGTGAACCCACACTGGTGGCTGGGATGTAGAAATCAAAAGGCTTTCATTAGTTTTTAATTCTTACATTGTCAAATATTTACTTTCCTTCATGGTTTCTGGTTTTCTTACCAAATTATAAAGATCTCCCCATGAGATTGGCGTGAGATCTGCTTGGGCCAACAGGACGCGGGCACACGGGACCTGGCCATGCATTGGTGCTGACAGAGTTCCACCACCGTGTGACATGCCTGGGCCAGCTCCTGGTGGAAGAGAGAAGAGACCGCAGCCGTCCTGGGCGAGACCCCACTGCACGGTGAGCCCCGTGATGCCTCACGGATGGAGCAAGCTCTTCCAGCCCAAACGCCAACCACGGAATCACCAGCAAACAAGGAGCTCACGCTCTGATCCAACAGGTTTTGGGGTAGTTTATTACACAGTAAGAGATAATTGATATCGGGGTGGGTCTCCTCTTTTATACTTTTGTTCCCTTATTCTCCAGAATTTACAGGCTAGTATTCCATATGTATTTCACTAGATTTTTAAGATTATTTTGTGAGGTTCCAAAAATAACTTTGGTGTTTTGTTGAGAGTGTAATAAATTTAAATATTAACTTTGGGGGTACTTTTCCCATTCAAGAACATGACATGCCACTCTTTATTCAGCCCTTTTCACGTCTCTCAGTAGAGTGATATTTTTTTCTTTTATAGCTATTGAAACTTTCTTGCTGAGATTATTCCTAGGCATTTCATGTTTTTGTTATTATAGCAACCAGAATAGTTTTCCCATTAAATTTTCTATTACTGATAGCATATAGAAAAGTAGCTGATTTTTGCATATTTTCCAGCCAGCCACCTTAACAAATTCATTTATTTATAATAATTTTTCAGCTAATTCTATTGGGTTTTCATTTGATCTGCAAATAAGGAGGCAAATTAGATAATCAGTACAGTTCCCACTTGGTGATGCGGCAAAGGCTGCCTGACCCGGGGGACACACAGTGAATCGTGCAATCTTTATGGGCCAATGTGTGGTATGAGAATTGGAGCTCAGGAAAGAGGTTTTTGAAATGGATCTGGTGATACTCACAGGGCCAGGTGGTAGTCAGGACAGCGCCTGGCTCACCACCTAAGTTTGTACCCAGATCAGAGTCACTGCCCACTTGGTTCAGAATTATTCTTGCTGAGGTGGTGGTCCTAGGGGCTGCCCTCAGACACAAGCCCATCATGGACCTGCAGCCTCCCCCACACAACTGACTCTCAAGTCTCTTTGCAGGGCTGTGACCTGTGAACAGTCTGGGGCCATTGCATGTCCATCATGGTCTGGTGCCATTTGTGCGTCCATCACTGTCTGGGGTCATTTGTGTGTCTATCATGGCCTGGGGCCATTGCATGACCATCACGGCCTGGGGCCAGTGCATGACCATCATGGCCTGGGGCCACTCTGTGTCCATCATGGCCTGGGACCATCGTGTGTCCATCAGGGTCTGCAGCCATTTGTGTGTCCATCAGGGTCTGGGGCCATTTGTGTGTCCATCAGGGTCTGGGGCCATTGCATGTCCTTCATGATTTGTGTGTCCATCACAGTCTGGGGCCATTGTATGTTCATCTGCGCCAAGGTCACACGGTTTCACCAGCTGTGCACAGAAGCAGTGCCTGTCTCTGTGCTAAATCGCTCTGTCTGGAGTCCAAGGGTGTCTCCTGGGAGAAATATGCCAACACATTACCTGTTCCAGCCACTCCGTATTTTACAGTAATCACTCACATCTTCCCAAACTGAGAGCTAAAATTCAACAACGCCCATGAAGACGAGCCGTGTGCTGTGCTCCCTGCAGGATGCAAAGACCAATAAGACAAAAGGCCTCTTCACTAGGAGTTCCAATCACAAGGGAAATACTGCCAGACTCTGCAGTTCAGGCTGGTCCTGATGCCTGTTTTAGCTAAAATAGGTGCATGGAAGACAGGCCAAGGAAGATGTGGATGGTCTGGGAGGGTTTGTGAAGAGGCGGCACTCGGGGGGGGGGGGTTGAGCAGCAGGAGTCCCACAGAGGGGCAGCCTAGGGCACTGCAAGGAGGTTGGAGGGCAGCTGAGCGAGGGCTGACAAAGGTGGGTGGTGGTGGAGGGAGACCCTGGCTAGGGATGGAGAATGGGCTAGAGGCTGGCAGCTGTTCTTCCCCGGGAGGGGATCAGGGTGTGAGCACACTGGGAAAATATCTCCAAGCATACACAGAATTAAGAAGTACAAAACAACAACCTAATAAAGGTGGACAGAGAAGGAAAGGAAATCCTCAGAAGTGTAAACGGCAGGTGAAGGCGTGAAGAGATGTTAGCCTCCCAGTGATCAACTGCAAATCAAAAAAGCCAGGAGATGGCTCTTTTTAAGAGACAGGCAAGTTGTCATAAGGACACCCAGCAGGGGTGCTCATGCAGAACACCCAGACCACCCTGGGTGGACAGCGAGAGCCCCGGGCAGTGACAACCCTGGACTCTCGCCGTCCACCCATGGGATGGGTACACCCAAGGAAATAATCAGTGGAGTGGACAAAGATCTGTGAACAAGAATGTTCATGCCAGTCGCTTATAACAGCAAAGAACTGGAAACGAAAGCAGCAAGGAGGGAATAGTTATAATGACAAAACAGCACGACTGCTCAGCTGTTGCAGTTTCTGGATGATGCTCAGGGTCACAGTGTTACAGGAGCCCAGTGGCTATACGACCATGTGTAAAGGACTTTCAGAGTTTCACAAAGAGCATCGAGAAGAAAGCACCTGAGCTGAGACATTCAAGCGACAGTCATTGCCTTGCAGTTGGTTTCTACTTTATTCTCTGTACTGCTCTGTTCTTTCCCGGCTCTCTATAAAGAACAAGTGCCATGTCGCGATCAGGAAAACTCTCTGAAGAGCTGCATGCTCTCTGGCTGGGTGGGGAGCAGAGGGACCAGCATGCCCCCCAGGGCCTGGAAAGCTGGGTGGCGGTGGGGAGAGGGCTGGCTGCCCATGTCCCTGGACAGCATCTGAGGTCCCAACTCTGCACCAACCTGAGCCCACATAACAGTCCTCGCAGACGCGCCTGGTTTATTTCTCAAGATGTTCATTTGCAGGTTGAATCAGAAAATAGGAACTCCTCCAATCCCCACGGTCTTCGCTGAAATCCGTGCTCCTCCAAGCACAGCTGGCTCGGAACGTCACCTGCTCCCATCGAGGACCCAGGAACCACCAGTTTAGGGACTCATGAACGTATTTCCTGCCCACCTCCTAGCTCCAAACCTTTACCAAACTTCTTACAGCTGTTGATGAATTAATATTTTTGGTAAAATAAACAGCACAAGCTCCTCCTCTGGGACTAGCCAATTTGCTGAATTATAATAGTTAATGCCTTCTTATTAAAAACATCCTTTCCGGTTATCCTTAACATTTCAGGCTTAAGTGGAGCCTAAAATCATCTGAATTCCAACTTCTCGGGTCTCTTCACAGCCCCAGTTGGGTGATGCCTGATAAATTTATGCTTGGATGAATTCGGCTCCCTTAAAAATGTGGCTAAGTCAAAATAACTCAATCCTATGAGGGAAGTGCCAGGAGGCAATGAATTACACACACGTGGAGAGACCCTTCTTTTCCTCTTGTTACTAACCAGTTAATACTCTCATAGCCACTCCCATGCTGGCAGCTGCAGAGAAAAAGTGAAGACAGAATGACTCCTGCAGTGTGCACTGAGGGTAACAAGACAGAGAACTTCAACCCCGCAGCCTGACGGGGCCCTGGTTTAGGCAACGGCAAAGTCCCCTCATTAGAACAGCTTTAACTGCAAGAGCACTTCATCTTGGTGGACCCAGGAGAGGGGACTCAGTGGGGACGGGGAGGGGTGGGACACGAGCAGCCATGACCTTGGCCCCGAGGGGCTACAGGGCACCATGCTGGGCTCCACATTCTTTCTTCTCTCTTCTTTTCTGCCCATCTTCCACCCCGGCCTTTCCTCCCCACTCTGTCCTGGAGTTAGTGACTGTCCAAGGGCCCGAGGGCAAGGGGCTGCTCGCAGTGGCTGTTTAGGGAAAGCAGGACTCAGACCTGCTTAATCTCAACAGCTCTGAAGAATCTGCACTTATAGATGAGGCAACTGGGGCTCAGAGAGGACACGTAAGTGCCTTAGGTCTTGTGCAGTCAGAGCAAGAGCTGGGATGGAGCCCTGCTCTGCATTAGAGTCTGAGAACTAACCAATACCCAATTTTGCCTCTTAGCGTGACAGAGAAGACAAACCAAAGGCCTTGGACAGATTAGGTCAAAAAGAATCTTGGGACTGGTGTCCAGTTCTGCACAGAAGGAGCTTGAAGCTGCCACTCCATCCTAACAGCAACTGAAAAGCTGAACAGACTGAAAAATCAACCTTGCTTCTTGGATCTGTGAGAGAGGAGGACACAGGGCTGACCTCTGCTCCCAAGACAGGAGAGACGGTCAGGCGAACATGGGAGTCCCGGCTTCCCGGAGCAGAGACCTGAGGCGGCCGCAGGAACCAGGGCCGGGTAGGACAGCCTCACCTGTGACTGACAGATTGCTGGAGGCTCAGTGTGGACAACTCGAGAGTTAGAGCCCCAGGGGGCCCAGT